TGGTAGGTGCTGGGGATGTAAAAATGAATAAGAAAACATTGTCCCCATTGCATTGTGAAACATTGGGGTATAATTATCCCCACTTCACATCTGAGGAACCTGAAGCTACTTAGGTTTAGCATCTCGGCTAAGATCAGATAATTAGAGCTTGGGGAAGACGGAATTCAAATTCAAGGCTTACTTCAAAGCTCAACCTTTGCGCTGTCCCACAGACTACACTCTATACTATCATCAGCTACTATGAGGCTAGGCACGGTGGCTCATGCCTGTAATCCCAGCACTTGGGGAGGCCGAGGGAGGCAAGCTCAAGAGTTTGAGACCAGCCTAGCCAACACAGCGAAACCCTGTCTCTACACATTTAAAAAATTAGTCAGGTATGGTGGCTTGCGCCTGTAATCCTAGCTACTCGAGAGGCTGAGGTGGGGGAATCGCTTGAGCCCAGGAGGTAGAGGCTGTAGTGAGCTGTGATGGCGCCATTACATTCCAGCCTGGGCAACAGAGCAAGACCCTGTCTCAAAATAAAAGAAGAAAAAAAAAACCAACGTTATTTAAGGGCGCCCTTTTTATAAAGTAACAGGCACCTGTAATTTCCGGTTTTTACTTTATATTTCCAAATGTTGGGTTTTCAAAAGAGTGGCACAATGAAGGAAATCAAAAACAAAACAACAAACCTTGTAGAACCTTTTCCATCTAGGAGTTGATAATTGAATTAGAGACACTTTTTCAAGCAATGTTATCAAAGCATGCAAAGTAACAAAGAATAGTTTAATACAAACAAAAATAGTAAGTCCTAGAGTGAGCTTTTAATATCTGCAGCTTACTAAAAAGTTCACATACTTTCCAAAGCTCACTGGCTGCCAAAAGTTAGAATTTTATACCTAAGCAGTTTGTTTCCTAGACAGGAATCTAATTACAAACAGAAGATCCTTCCAGTCCTATATAAAATTCTCTAAGAGACAGAAACAATAAGATTTAAGGAGCCAAAGAATCAACAATTGCATTGACTCTCCATTTAAACAGACAAAACAAAACAGAAGGAAAAGAAAGAACAAAACAAAAAATATTCTGGCTGAGGAAACTTTGGAAAAATAATAAAACTTCAAAAATATTTTTTTATCCCATTTCAAACATTATTCTTTCAGTTAAAAAAGTGGTTTTAAAAATATTTTGGTTCTAACATTTAAACTTTTAGCTAATATAATTCTGTATAATTTTTAATCTATGAAAAAATAAATTATACTGTATGAAAGCAAAAAATGCTACAAATAACTATAACAACTTCAACGTACATAATCTTAGAGAACAGTTTTATGAGCACAATAGCCCCTTCTAATTTAGGTAATTTTTCTTATCAATATTCTCAATACTTCTATCAAAGTTAATTTCTAAATGTTGAAGAAGAGTGGATAGGATGAGTACCCTGAAACTTATTCCCCTTTTAGAACTTTTAGAAATCTCAATATTAAAGATGAACTATTTAAAACATACGTGTATTTCTACAATGAGGTTTTTTGTAGTTGTTTCTTAAAGACATGCTAGTGAATACCGTGGCGTTGTGAAACAAAACGTTTTGTTGAGCCAGATGGAACAGAAGAATGTACCTTACTGGTAAACCAGAGGAAAAAAGACCTAAAACGAGTTTTGTGTACTTTCAGGTATAGAATAAGTTTGGGGGAAATAGCTAGGAATGCTTTGGTTAAAACATAAGCTGTCTTCGATTAATTCAAATGTTCTGAATTCAACAAATATTTATTGATTACCTACCATGTTCCAAGCACTCTGCACAACCCTCAGTATTAACAGATCAGAAATGGTCCCAGACCTTTTGGAACTTACAGGGTAATGAACACATCCTTCAAAATTATCCTTTCTTTTGTGTGATTCCATGGTCATCAAATACAAATTCACACTAGCCAAAGCTTAGTACCCATAAAACAGTATATTACATTACCGAAATCCGCCTGCGGGTCAATGTATATACCCCTATTTAAATTAATAAATCATTCAGGCCGGGTGCGGTGGCTCAAGCCTGTAATCCCAGCACTCTGGGAGGCCGAGACGGGCGGATCACGAGGTCAGGAGATCGAGACCATCCTGGCTAACACGGTGAAACCCCGTCTCTACTAAAAATACAAAAAATTAGCCTGGCGTGGTGGTGCGTGCCTGTAGTCCCAGCTACTCGGAGGCTGAGGCAGGAGAATAGCGTGAACCCAGGAGGCAAAGCTTGCAGTGAGCCAAGATGGTGCCACTGCACTCCAGCCTGGGCGACAAAGCGAGACTCCGTCTCAAAAAAATAAATAAATAAATCATTCAGGCTTGCACATCAGTCTTATGAGTTTAGTTGAGTGAATCCTCAAAACTTAATTCTGATTAATTGGTTAGATGTAATTTCTGAAAATTCAAAATACAGTAGCTGACAATCAAAATAGTAATGGACTATTTCCATTAAAAGATCACCAAAGTGAGTCTATACTTAGTTTATCCCCTGACAAAATGCCTTTATTTCATAATACCCTTCAAACTGCAACTAGTTAATCCATAAAACTGTTAACAATAAATGAGATATAGCATATGAGTGCTTCCGGAACTTTGGGTTTTTTTTTTTTGAGGCAGAGTTTTACTCTGTCGTCAGGCTGGAGTGCAGTGGCGCGATCTTGGCTCACTGCAGCCTCCGCCTCCCCAGTTCAAGCGATTCTCCTGTCTCAGCCTCCCGAGTAGCTGGGACTACAGGGCGTGCCACCACGCCCGGCCTTCTCAAACTTTAATGTACATACAAATCACCCACAGACATGTTAAAATGAAGACTGATTCACTAGGTCGGGGACAGCCAGTGATGTCCAGGCTGCTGTCCACGGACTACAAGGATACACACCTAGCACAGTGGTTGGCACCGAGACTACTCAGCCCAGTTAACTATTCCCTCCCATTTGTATATATCTCATCTCCCTTACTGATCTCACCTTCCTTGGAAGCAAAGACAATGACTTTTTCATCTTTGTATCTTTCAAAGTTCTAAGTAGAATGAATGCCTTATCTACATAATGGCATTAGATATATGTATTCTGAATGAATGGCATCCACCTTTTAACAGTGATTATTTCTTCTATGAGTTATCAACAGAATTGTTTCTCTGAATTTATTTTAAATAGAAAAATATTGTTCAAAAGCTGAAAAATCAGGAAAACTCTCAATTTTAAAAACCGATACTGTATTTGTACCATACTCCAGTGCATTTTTTCTCATGCTGACCTAACCTTTTTTAAGAAAATAAATATCCATAATTACCTGCTGTTTATCTCCTAATGTTTTTCTTTTTTTTTTTTTTTTTGGTAAATAAAAATAAGCCATCAATTTTTCAGGCAAAGTTTTAAAACTACCCTTTTCTTTGTATGCAAGGGCATCTTTGTAAAGTAATACCTATAAAATAATCCTGGCTTCTCGGATTAATATAAAAATCACAGTATCCTTGTTATCAATAGGTAGACCGTTGGCACAGTTTCATGTGTGTCTTCACCGATTTTCTGTGATCACCCTAACAAGTGACTAAATATCTCAGGATTCGTTTCTTCCTTGTAAATATTAGCTGTTAACCTGACCACACTTGGTTCTGTGCAGAGAAAAATGGTCTGAGAGGGTGTTTTGAGCACTCCAGAAAGAAAACAAAGGAGGAATATTTTCACTTCCTACTTGTTTACCTTTACTGGTTTATGGCTTTTTGGATATTTTTGGGTGACTTTGCCAACTACCAAACACAATTATTTTTGAGTACCTAAGGGAATGGTAACTAAGGATCGGGTTTTAATCCTACCATTGATCACACCATGAATTGAAAACAACATGAAAGGTCTTGCAAATAAACGTAATCACTTTTTGGCGTCTCCGCACAGGTAACACACCGATGCCTCTGATCTGGCGACCTTAAGCCTCGAAGCGCAGTCCCGCCTCTGCAGGCGGCCACCGCGCGGGGCTGGGTGGTCCCCCGGGGACCGCGAGCGGTTCCAAGGTCTCCGCCAGATTTTGGTTTTCATCTTTATTAAAACTGCTGTTTGGGTGTGTGTCTTTTTTTTCTTTTTTTTTTTAAGACAAGACACCAGTTGCGCGACGCAAGCCGGCCGCGGGGCAGGCATTCCGGAGCACCGGGAAGCACCGGGAAGCTCGGAGGCAGCGGCGGTGACCTCCAGACCGTCCTCCTGCGTCCTCATTAAGGAGGCAAAATGGTGGCCGCGAACGCCATCAGGCTGCGCCAGGGCGGGGTTTCGGCGCCAACACAGAGGATCCCGCCAGATTCTGGCGGCCAGAACTCCTCCTCACCCAGGCCACCCCCCGGGGCCCACAGCCTGGACGGCTACGGGCGTGGCGCCTGCGGCACCGAGACCCCCGGCGAGGGTGTGGAGGCGGCGACGACTTCCCCGCGACAGTGAACAACGACGCCATTATCAGCACCCCCTGCCGGCGCCTCTGGCGCAGCCCGCGCAGGAGCCGAGGCCCGGCCTCCGAGGGAGGGGGAAGGAGGACGCGGCGGCAGGAGAGGAAGAGGGGGAAGAGGGCGGGAGGAGGGGAGAGAGAACAGGGCGGGAGGAGGCAGAAGGCGGCGGGAGGAGGGAGAAGAAGGCGGGAGGAGGGAGAAGAAGGCGGGAGAGGGAGAGAACAGGCGGGAGAGGAGAAGGCGGCGGGAGGAGGGAGAAGAAGGCGGGAGGAGGGGAGGAAGAAGGCGGGAGGAGGGAGAAGAAGGCGGGAGGAGGGAGAAGAAGGCGGGAGGAGGGAGAAGAAGGCGGGAGGAGGGGAGAGAGGCGGAGCGGAGCGGCCGGCCGGGCTGGCTGCGGGGACGGGGGCAGGGCGGCGTCTGCTGCTGCTGCGGGGTGGCCCCCTCCTCAGGCCACCCTCTCCCTGCGGCTGGGGACTCCAGATGGACGAGGGCCCACCCCACCCGGCGCTTCCCCGTGCGACCCGGTGTCGCGGCGGGCGGTGAGGGCAGCGGCTCCCCGTCGCCCCTACCTTACCTTGCCTGTCTTTCTCGTCCGCCATCTTGCTGCGGAGCCGGTCGCCTGGGAGATGCCTAACGATAACCTCGGCCGCGCTGTCCCGGCCTGCTCAGCGCCCCGCGGCGAGCCTGGCCTGGAGGAGGGGCCGCTCCGAATTCTGGGGGAGGAAGACCCTTGGGCGGGGCGGGGAGAAGGCTCCGAGCGCGCGCCGCGTCCCCGCTTCCCGCCACGACCCTCGCGCTGGGGGAAGACCAGAAGCCGCGTCTGCCACCCGGCCCCCAACCTTGTCCCTGCAGACCCGAGGCCGGAGCCCGACTAGTCCCGGGCCTAGCAGTGTTACTTCATCACACGGTCCCCAGCCCCTCCTTTCCCTTATTTCTCATCCATTCGGGGACAGCACGCGCGCGCACACACCCTCGCCCCTCCTGTCCTGTTTGTGCGACGTGGCGTGGCTCGATTTTTGTTGTGAACTGCAGATTTTGAAAAGCGCCGGAGAGCTGGGTGAAGAGCTGGGCTCCCGAGGGGGTGACAGAACCAGCCCGCGGCCCAGCCTCCTCCTCCCGCTTCCCATCGGCCCGGCGGCTGCAGAACGGTCGCGCTTGCCCTCCCGGTTTCTCCCGTCCAGTCCTCACCGTCCTTTCCCAGAGAAAGCGGCAGCACAGCCTATGACAACTAAGCTGAAACGGAAAAACTGGGCCGGGCGCAAGAGGAAACCAGAGCCATTCGACTATTATTACTAGAGGAGAGGAATAGCTGTAGAAAAACATGCGCAAAATAGGCACAAACATTGCGTCGTCAAGGCTGCAATGTCTCATACAAAATAGAAGGTTCTCATAGCAACAAAAACGTGCCCATGTTGTGCTCAGTGTTAACATGCGTTAAAATGTTCTTAGTTGTGAAATTTGACATGACCGCTGGGTAAAGTTACAATGGAGTTTTAAATCCTGCTTTCCGGAAACTTTGCAGCCATAGCATGAGGTTAAATTTTTCTTATTTTCAGGACAAGTTTACTATACTGGAATATAGTAAAGCTCTTTTTGTAAAGAGCTTTGAATAAAATACCTAACGATGTGGTTCAAACGAACACATTTTCAAAACTAATCTTAAATGGTATTTCAGTGCATATGTTATGTAAAAGCAATTTATAAACTAAACTAAATTTTAAGAGCCTTCAAAATATAAGGTAGTCGTATTTAATGACTTAACAGTTTTAATGCTTTTATTCTGTTTCTATAATCTCTCAGGAAATCCTAACTATATTTTTATTAAAATAACTTTTTCTGTAGAAGATACCCATTTGGTGCTGTGATTGGCGTTCTGCCTGAAATTGAATATAAACAACTGAATCATTACAAAATGGCTCATGTTAGAAGATACTTAAAACGAATACAATCTTCTTCAGTAAATTTTTAACACCCCAAAATAACGAAAAGTATTATTAGCATTCATTTATATCTACATCTCAGTCAATATGATCTAAATATTTGTGTTTAAAGACTCCCCTTTTCCATATAGATAATGAAGGGCTTTGAAAGAAGTGTAGGAAACCCTAAGTTTGGTCTCAGGCTTGCTATTCATTCACTATGCTTTTTCGTCTGCTGTTTACAGTTTCCTTTTTCTGGAGTGTCTTTCCCTGCTCTCTCCCCCGCCATCATTTCAGCTTCCCACAAACACACATTTGTCCCCTCCTGGTTGTCATGCAGGATGACTGTCTTTGTTTTTGTTTTTGTCTTTTGTTTTTCGAGACAGGGTCTCGCTCTGTCCTCCGGGATGGAGTGCAGTGGTGCAATCTCTGCTCACTGCAGCTTCCGCCTCCCGGTCTCAAGTGACCCTCCCACCTCAACCTCCCAAGTAGCTTGGGAGGAGAGGCTCGCGCCACCATGTCTGGCTAGTTTTTGTATTTTTTGTAGAGACAGGGTTTCCCCCTGTTGCCCAGGCTGCTCTCAAACTCCTGAGCTAAAGCGATCTGCCGCCTGCCTCGGCCTCCCAAAGTTCTGGGATTACAGGTGTGAGCCACCGTGCCTGGCCAGGATGACCTTCTCGAAGTCACCTACTAATTGAAGCTTTCTCTCTCAGCCTTTTCCTCTGTGGCCCCATACTCATAGAGCCTCCCACATTGATTTGCAATGCCTTCGTTCGTTCACTTGTTTCCACCTACCAAACAGTAAGGTCTTGAAGACAGAAACAGCATTCTTCATTCATATATCCCCAGTATCTAGTACAATTTTTCTGTTTGCAGTAATATATGTCTTAAAAATTAAGATAGGAATAAGTCTTCTCAATGACTTTTTTTCAAAAAAGACCCAGATTCAGCACGTATTGTGTGTAAGACAGACCTTCCTTTTACATTACGTTTTCTCATTAGTAAAAGTCCTGGGCCAGGTGCGGTGGCTCACGCATAATCTCAGCACTTGGGGAGGCCGAAGCGGATGGATCACTTCAGGTCATGAGTTCAAGACCAGCCTGGCCCACAAGATAAGACCCCATCTCTACTAAAAATAGAAAAATTAGCCAGGTGTGGTGGCTCACACCTGTAATCCCAGCTACTCGGGAGGCTGAGGCAGAAGAATCGCATGAACCCGGGAGGCAGAGGTTGCAGTGAGCCGAGATTCACTGCTGCACTCCAGCCCAGATGACAGAGAAAGACTCCATCTCAAAAAAAAAGTACCAGTATTTCATGTCAATAAAATGGAATTCTTATATAAACATATATAAATTAAAAATTATTATTTTAAGAGTTGAACAGATTTCTCTGCAAACCCCCCTGTACTTTTATATTTTTAAAACTAACTGCATTCAGCAAAGCTTTTTATTATGTAATTATTCCAAAACACATTAATCATTATTTCTCTGAACTCCTACAGCACATTTAAAACAGTACTGTTTCTCTGGGTGTGGGTGAGTAAAAAAATATTTAATATATGTTAATTAACTCCCCCATCCCCTGACCCTGCCAAGGTTTGAATAGGAGCCTACACCTTTATAAACTCTTTTTATATACCCACACTACCTAGCCTAATTGGGACACATATTAGTTGCTTCATACATACTTTTTAACTGCCTAATTTGCTGGTTAGACATAAAAGTATATAATTCTAGAAAAGTTTCCACAAGGTGAAAATGATTAGCCAAATAATAAAGGCCCACAATGCCAGTGAGTACATTATCTGCATTATGCTGATATTTGACTCCTTTCAACTCTGTTTGGTTGTAGAAACCTGACCGATGATTATATTACACTTTTAACTCTTTAAATATTATTAGCTTGCTTTGGACTGTGAAAAACTAACTACAATCATTTTTATTCCTTAGAATATATTTTGCAGCCGGGCACCGTGACTCACGCCTGTATACCTAGCACTTTGGGAGGCCGAGGTGGGCGGATCACGAGGTCAGGAGATAGAGACCATCCTGGCCAATATGGTGTAACCCCGTCTCTACTAAAATACGAAAAAAACTAGCCGGGCGTGGTGGCGGCGCCTGTAGTCCCAGCAACTCGGGAGGCTGAGGCAGGAGAATGGCGTGAACCCGGGAGGCGGAGCTTGCAGTGAGCCGAGATCGCACCACCGCACTCCGGCCTGGGCGACAGAGCAAGACTCCATCTCAAAAAAAAAAAAAAAAAACACAAAAATTAGGTGGGCGTAGTGGCGCATGCCTGTAGTCCCAGCTACTCGGGAGGCTGAGGCAGGAGAATCGCTTGAACCCGGGAGGCAGAGGTTGCAGTGAGCTGAGATCGCGGCATTGCACTCCAGCCTGGGCGACAGAACAGGGACTCAAAAAATATATATATATATATATATGTGTGTGTGTGTGTGTGTGTATATGTGTGTGTGTGTGTGTGTGTGTATATATATGTGTATGTGTGTGTGTGTGTATATATATGTGTGTGTGTATATATATGTATATATGTGTGTGTGTGTGTATATAGCTTCTGAGCTGTAGCTTGAGTAACTTGTAATATTGTATGCCGCCAAAGCATTTTTTCAGTTAAACATCTCATAATGATTTTCAGAAATTTAGAATCAGAAAATCATTTTTGATCCCACTCGCGGATACATAAACTTAGGGCTAAATCAGAAAAGCAAGCACATAGTTTTATTTATTTATTTATTTATTTGAGACGGAGTCTCGCTCTGTCGCCCAGGCTGGAGTGCAGTGGCGGGATCTCAGCTGGCTGCAAGCTCCGCCTCCCGGGTTCACGTCATTCTCCTGCCTCAGCCTCCGGAGTAGCTGGGACTACAGGCACCCAGCACCTCGCCCGGCTAGTTTTTTGTATTTTTTTTTGGTAGAGACGGGGTTTCACCGTGTTAGCCAGGCTGGTCTCGATCTCCTGACCTCATGATCCGCCCATCTCGGCCTCCCAAAGTGCTGGGATTACAGGCTTGAGCCACCGCGCCCGGCCTACAAGCACATAGTTTTAGGCAATCACACTTACTTGATGCATTACTCTATGGAGCCAGATGGCTATGTACAGGTTATGTCCTTTTTTTTTTTTTTGAGGCGGAGTCTTGCTCTGTCGCCAAGGCTGGAGTGCAGTGGCACTATCTCGGCTCACTGCAAGCTCCGCCTCCCGGGTTTACGCCATTCTCCTGCCTCAGCCTCCCAAGTAGCTGGGACTACAGGCGCCGCCACCACGCCCGGCTAATTTTTTGTATTTTTAGTAGAGATGGGGTTTCACCGTGTTAGCCAGGACGGTCTCGATCTCCTGACCTCGTGATCCACCCACCTCGGCCTCCCAAAGTGCTGGGATTACAGGCTTGAGCCACCGCGCCCGGCCGGTTATGTCCTTTTGCATGCTTGAATTGATAGTGAGTTAAATCTGTTCGGACAGCCATCAGTGATGTGCCCATGAGGAACACAGAAAATGTTTCTTTTGAATGCAGTTGACTCAGTCACCTAAGATGTGAGAGAAGTGGGAAGGGTAAGTGGTGTGAATAATGCAAAATGATAGTTTAAAAATCCTTTACGCCATGCTTACTTTCCTAATATGGAGATCATTGAAATCTTGGATTGCAAATAATTTTTTTTTTTAATGGATTTTCCCTGGGCATTGCCATTTACTAATCCCATGATCCTGGGCAAGCCATGTAATCTCTTTAAAACTTAGTTAACTCATAAGAATAGAAATAACACTGTCCAAACTTCCTATTTT